GGTGTAACTGGATTCACGTTTTGTGGGGAGATTCTTCCTTCTATAAATATCGACTAGATCATCATAGAAAAGACAGTCGGTTTAAAATGTTGAAAAGCTGGTTTGGAAAACAGAAAGTTGATTTGGAATGTTGGAAGTTGGTTTGGAATATTGACAGGTTATTAACGGTTGGGCAAGTGTCACAACTACTGATAGCGCTTCAAGACTGAGGGCTGGATGCCATTAGGCACGATCTCTGGAGGCTGAAAGGCACCTATGCACTTGGCAAATGGTGGACTGGGTCGGGACACTTACAAGCCGTTTTATGTACATTCTGTTAATGTTTTCTAAACGTAAAGCGTGTGCTGTGCAGGAACCACAAAGGCTACATTTGTTTATGTACAATGATATTGGTACACACAATTTAATCAGTATACATTTCTACTGGATAGTTTGGCAGAAGACTAGTACATGTACATGTACCACGTGGTTGGTCGTGTTACCAGTTACCAATAAACATTTTTTACATCTTGGATGATGCACGTATGATGATCAGGAAGGACTAACAAAATTCTGCAGAACACAAAATTAATCATTAAATTAATCAAAATAAGTTCATTAGCCCAATAGGTTTGTACAAACAATCAATGGCTTGCCATCCAATCCCATGATATCACAAGAATCAGGGTAACACATGTACCGGTATGACCTTGTATTTATCAAACCTTTATTAGCAGAGCCTCACCAGAATTACCGGTACCTTTGGTGTTTGTCGAGGACTTGTTAACCTGAAACTAGGTAATACAGATTTTCACAAGGGCATCTTGCAATAACAGTGCCACCTGTTCCCTCAGCCCCAACAGTGGATGTTCATAAATACATGTACATGCTTAATCCTCCATGTATTTCATATACACACCTGCAAATCTGCGAAGTCTGCGGAAACAGACAACATGCTGAAAGTGAGCTTGGCAGTTGTATGTGGACTGCATGATAAAAGTGTCCTTTTAAAGTTTACAGTGAGATACATTCAGATATTGTACAAATCACTTTCAAGAGCCAGTATTCATGGTATTTGGCTGCATTCCCATGGGAAGCCAAATGCCATTATCTGGCCTATTTTTTAGTTAGTTGGATTTTTAGTTCAATTTTTGGAAGTGAGTGATTGATCAACTCACGTTCTAGGCTGTTTGGTCTCTTGGAGGGATAGCTTGCGGGGGTACGGGTTGCGGGAAAACTTCTGACAGCTCTGACGCCATGACAAGAAACGTTTCTTCTGGGCAGCAGTGAAGGCCTCGTGGTTGAGACACTTATCCAGGAGTTGCAGGTACAAGCTGACGTTGTCCTCATCTGGTCTCTTTGCAACCAACAACTGGGTGCACACTACAGCGAAAAAAACCAACCAAACAGATATGTCTGTGAATACAGGAAGCACAGGGCTTTCTAATGTTGGGCTTTGTCTCTGCCTATGCACCCACATGTACAGGTAGGCTTGTCTAGTTCCAACTGATTGAAAATACTTCCATCTATAAGTCAACAGCATACACTTTAGTGTCCCTTCAGCAAAAACAAGTGCATAAATCTCCAAAGTTTGAGAGGTAAACATCAGATGAAACTGTGTACAAAAGAAGTACATTTTATTGCAATGTATTACTACAATCTTTAACTTCTGGATAGACTTTAAACAAAATAAAACCAATATGTAAGTTAAAACAAGCCATCTTGAGAAGTAATCTGATGTAGCTTAAACAGCATGCATTGTTGGCTTTAGTAATTGCAGGCGAATACCTATTCATGTTCGGTCAATGAAATGACTTATCTTCCAGATAAAGGGTGTGGGATTGTGGGAAGGCCATGGCTATGTACATGTAGGCTGAGTAGCAACCAACTTACTCTTTCCCATGAACCGGGTGAGTTGGCCGGGGAAATCTCCTTCCTTGGTTTCTTTCTCTCCATCCTCACTTGGCTGTGAGGACGTCGAGTCCTCACTGGAAGACTCTAGTGGTTCATACACCTTGATCGGAGTATTCAGCATGCTTTTGACCTCATTCAGGGCATTACGGAGATTACCTGGGCTGTTGTCATTGAGAATGTCCTGGGAAGGAGAGAAAGCTAAATATAATATCAGCCGTAGAAAAGGGTACCAGTACATGTACTGGTACATTGTAGTAATGTCCTCAATATATGCTAGTACGGTACATGTAGCTGCCATACATGTGTTTGGATACTGGCAAAAATCACCCTTCGTGGGGGTCACTATAACCCCTGACTGGGGTATGTACTATGCACATACAAGTACTTGTACATGTATGTCCCTAACACATGCCAATTGGGCAGTAATGCCCCCAAGGCAGGTATTTGGATGTTGACAAATTAGTGAGGTTAATTGTATAACTGAATTTAGTAACAGCCTCAATAAAGGTCGCAAAGATTTACTGTCCACTGAAAATGCCCACGTAAACATACAAGAAACTGGAGTATACATGTATATCCTATGAAATCAGACTAACGGGGCTCCGGTTTACACGACTTGTTATTGAAGCTTTGATTTTAACCCTAACACTCCTCAGTCCTCCAACAGGTGAAGGATTGAGGAGTGTTAGGGTTAATGACAGGTTTTGCACTTACACCAAGGTACATTTTCACAACTCTGTATACTCAGTGTTTGTCGGAGAGCTTGCAAAAAACTTCATAAGCTTACTTGGGTGGGACTCAAACCCGAGATCTTCCACTTACTGGTGCAGATGTCTTAACCACTTACATAACTACCGGGCTTGCTAGGGTTGGCTGGCCAGTATTGTACGAGTCACATTGATGTTATTTTGAATTTGTTTTCTTTAATTTTTCAATCAGATATGTTACAAAGTTTATTCGGAAGCAAAAATCTATCCCTTTGATAATACATGATCTAAGAAAAGCAAATCACACAAAAATCTAAATTTTACAAAATGTAGAATGAATTTTACGTACATGTAAAGTAACACAGAAATGGATTCCTTGTCAACCACATGTGGGAAGTCTGACTAGTTAATTTACCAAACTCATTTGGAACAAAATGACACATTTCTTTATAAAAACTTTGCCCAGGAAATGTTATTCAAGGGAACACTTTCACTGAAGAGAATAAATAAAAGGGAAATATACACGCGTGTGGTGATTGGAAACGAAACTGGAAAATAAGATAGGGCAGACTGAAAAATGAGGCCAGTCTCTGACTGGTTCCCCTACCCCCACCCACATCCTGCTCCCCACCCTACAGACAGGAAAGGATTAATAAAGCCACAGTACAATCATGCGCACGCTAGCTCGGCAACTAGGAGGGAACCGGTTGATGGCCCAGCACGTGCTGGTTGTTCTCTTCCTGCTCTTGTCTATGAGAGGGAGCACATTTCCATGACAGCATTTCCTATCACACCATGGCACATTTCTTAGCACGAGGGGTAGGGGGCCCAACTACTTGTACAAGTCATAAAAGGTCTGTTTGTGAGTCAGCAACTGGATGTCTTCCTGGTAGTGGTGGGGAAAATGGGAAAGGGAAGGGCTAAAAGGAAGAGGCACAGCACTGCATGGATTTTTTTTCCTGCACTGAGCTGTCCATGCCAGTTTGCCGGCGCTGCAAGACAGAGGAAACTTTTCAAACATCAGAACATGACCACGTTCATTACCAATTAAAATACGAAAAGTTTCATCTCCATAAAAGGGTACATATCAAAATAATAAAAAAATTATCTGACTCTCAACGAGATAAAAATGACTGTTGGTATCTGTTTCTTGAGTCAAGCATTTCATTTACATGGGAGGCTCACCTTCTCTAGGTTATAAAGGGTTAGCTGTCGTTCCTTCAACTTCTGGATGCTCAAAACAATCTTATGTCTGGCACCTTTCGTTACATTCTAGAACAGACGAAAAGGATCAAATCTAAATAAAAACAACAGCCAAACAACACACTCGAAACATGCACTACTGTCTCCATAAATGGTTCACAGTGTCGTACAATGATGAAGTAACTCATCTCTGTAACAAAACTGGTGGATTTGGTGGACTGGGTCACATTTTACAAAGTTATTGACTGTTTTTATGGCAAATATACAAGCAGACCAGTTGAAATTCTCATCAGGATATAACATGAGAAGATGCTGTCCAAATTAACACAGGTACATGTACATGTACATGTACATGTGATGGATCTCAGTGGAGTCTAGAAACACTTGCTTCCCAGTTGCCTTGCTCTCAGTAGTGGCTGCTACTTCAGGCTTCCTTGGAGTCCACGGAAAAAAGGTTTCTCTTGGTAGAGATGCCGTACGCTTGCTTCAGCCAAAAACGTGAGTTCAGAATAAGTGCCACACTTGCACCAAAAACTTGAGTTCAGAATAAGTGCCACACTTGCAAAACCCTAGAAAATACCCAAATCATTTTGAATACTGGTAGTTACATGTAAAACCACTTCAAACATCAAGGACTATACTGCATGATTGCAATAAAAGAGAACTGTAATCAAGTCCTCATAAACCTAGCCACTGACCAAGTTCTCTCTGTAGTCTGAGTCCTTTTATGAATACTCATTTTCAGCATGCAATTTCTTCGATACCAGGATTCTAATGTCCCCCATTCCATTGTTCATACCAGGCTTACTTCTGTGTCTACATTCCCAGGTTTCAATTCAGTTTACTTGGTAGACTCGGGAGGGTCCCCGATTACAACTGATGACATTGACTGTAACAACTCTGGCCAGCTTACCATCGATTCCAGCTTGCCTTCATTGAGCAGCATCATCTCGTCGTACGTCATCTGTTGGAATAACCCTGAATACTTGTGTAACCTCAGACTCTTCAACCAGGAAGGTACATCTGAGAAGGACGAAGAAATCACAAGGTCATTTACACAAACACAAATGATGCTCGAGCATTGTTTATATATTTATTTGATCATCCAACAGTGCATTTAGCACCAATTACAGGATGATGATGAGTGAAGAAGACAACGAAGAAATGTTCAGTGTAAGAAGTGGGATGAAAAGCCTGGATAACTGTTCTGGGGAAACCCAAGGACTCAGTAGGGACTGAAAACCCACCCCACACGTGGACTGTGCCAGGTTCAAACTAGGTGGAAGGCAAGGAAAGAGAGACTGTCCAATCACTGATAATGCACGGCGCTGGAGACGGTCTTAGCGGTACATGTACAGTACATGTAAGCTGCTTACAATGACAAAGCAATGATTAAAACTAGAAAAGTTGGACGAGGCAAGAAAATAGGAAGCACAGTTATTGCATTGTGAGTTATCAAATGAAAAAAGTGTGGCAGAAACCTGTTTAAAGTTGTCAAGTTTGTTTGCACTGACAGAGCTTTGGTGAGACACATCAAAATGTGCACAGATTTGGTACAATTTGAATAATAATTATTGGGTTTGTTCGATTAGCTTACACGTGTAAGCCAAACTTACACGAGAGCGTCCGTTTAGCCATCACGTGATCCTCGTGCCTGCCCTGGTGTCAGCCACTACTAATACCAAAGATCATATAGCGCCGCATAGCGCCGCAAGATGGGGAACTTCACCATGAGTACGTGTAAAACATTGTTATCATATGGGCGCCATTCTGGTTGGACGACACCTGCACAGTGCATGTTAATGCACAGGCGCAGGCTCCGCGACAGGCACGCATACACATTAACATTCACACTCGAATGACGCCCATGGTGATAACACCTTTATGGCCGAATTACCCATCTTGCGCTGCTACGCGGCGCTATATAATCTTTGCTACTACTCCGGTTGGCGAGCAGGTCTCTGGAGGCTGCCCGAGTGTAATGACGTCACGTATGGACTGTTCGTGCGTGGACGTACATGATGGAATGTGACTGGGACTTGACCTTTTTCCCAGAATGCCTTGGCGAGTACACTGCAGCGTTCGATTACCCTCATTTCAAGGCTTCCCTTGGTGTAACACTGGTGTCTTCAGGGAAGCTAATCGAACTCAACCCATTACAATGCTGTGGTCAATACTACCAGTACAGTTTCATTAAGGCAGTACATGTACATGT